TTATCTTATTTTACATTCCATGATTTAATTACTGTGGTCTGTGGTCGTTTTTTCCCGATACTATATTAACCTAACCGTTCTAAACTAAAATTACATTTTTTCTATTTATACATATATCAACTATTTGATCAAACTAAAAAATTACTTAAACGGTATAAAACATAGTAGAATTATAATTATTGTCCAAGTAAGAATGTGTGACTAAGTATAGCGTGTATTTAAATTTGGTTGTTACTATGAGTTGTATCACGTAAGTGTTAGATATTGGCTACCGAAAGACGATAAATAAATTTTAATAACTTTTTTTAAACCTATTAATTTCCGTCAGTAACAAGTGGTGTTATTGACGCTTGAAGTATTGGATATAGTACGTCTATTAACTGTAACGATATTTATTATAACGACCGTCGAGCAATGCGCGATCCATTTAGTTCCATTTCATAAAATTATTAAGACACCAGCTGATTTTTATAAATATTATACCTTTTTATTTTATAATCTAAATATTATGTTATTGTTATAGGTTACTATTAAATTGGTTTTTCAGACAATTTACCGGAACCAAAACCGTTTAATATTGAACATCTGCCCCTGACGCCTCTATACGGATGGTAATTATTATTTGAACGTTTAGCGGCGTATTATTATTTTGAGTCATTAATAATAGCGACTTAGTAACTAAAATAAAAACATAATAATTACTTTTGTTCTTCAAAATAGAATCTCATTCGGATTTCCAATAGTCTTCTTATGACGTATTATCTTCACTATTCAAAAGTAATCACATATTTATGTCTTTACGAATAAAAGTTAACCGAAAATATTACCCATTTTTATAAATATTATTTATTTGGCGAGGACATTTCCACTTTAGAATTAAAATGTTCATTAGTTTTTAATCACTTATAAGTTATATGTTATACTTTATAAGCTAACATTTCTATAATCCTGTAAAAATGTCCTCGTGAAGTAAATCATTTTTATATGTAATATTTTCGGTTTACTTGACTTAGTTCAACTCCTAATATCACATTATTGTAGTGCTAAAATACATTGTACAACTAATTATAAAAAATAAAGAATGTTTTTCGTAATGTTAGTAAAAATAATAAAAATTGTATACACAACTTAGGCGACAGTAAACAATGAACACCGCGTTGTTCTATGGAAAAGGAAAATTAAAAAAAAACAATACTACATTTCTTTTTTTTGATACGATGCATTTTATAAGCTCACACATGGGCCAAAGTGTAATATATTGCAAGTTAATGAAAAATATACCTTATACCTATATTAACTAAAATAGTTGTGCCCAAATTACACGTTCTATTTGTTTAAAAAAATGTATAGATATGTTTATATAAATGATAAGGTTTTTAAAAAACTGTAATATAGGAGTACTAAAAAAAAAAAAAAAGAAGAACCCGCCAGTATTTATTTTATATTTACTAATTATTATTTACACGCAATTTGAAATATAGTGTTTTTTAATATTAATGAATAAACTAATATATTAATATAATATTATATATTTTTTATAAATTGGAATTTAAGTAAAAACATAATTTTTATGTAGCCTTTACGATTGAAGTTAATTATGAAAAAATCCAAGGGTTTCAATACTGTCTTGACGTTTATGAGATCGTTTTTCAGCGTCTGTGTGTTGGTCTCGATTGAGTTCATGGAAGTATATTAAGAAAGCTTATAATTCTACAACGTTTCAATAATAGTCATAAAAAATACCTCTATGATAAAGTATACTAATTAGGTCTAGAAGAATGAAATCTTTCATATATTTCTCCGCGACTGTGTAAAAATGTACAGTTTTGATTTCGTTCAGCACACTAAAATTGTTTAACCCACTACATAATAATTTTGAATACAATATTTATGAGTGTAGTGTACATGTTAAGTTTATTGTAAAACAACAAAATATAAAAAGTTTTATGCTTACTTCTATTTGTTCATAGAGAAATATATTATAGGTACAAACAATGTGCCACAAGTAATTTGCAATAAGCAAAATTATTTGGTGTAAATAAATTATTTTTTAGCATGGAACATGCTTTAGTCTTGGCCTCCCAGTTTGAAAACGGTACAAAATAACGACAAAAAATAGTGACACGAAATAGCGTCACGAAAGTAGTGCGTCTACTTTAAACGTATAATATAACGAGTCGTCGTTGTCGTCGTCATGTAAACGTTTTGGCCAGAACATATAATTAAGACTATACTATCCATCGCAAGGAGATTATAGATCAGAAATAATCACTATTCAGGAGCCAACCGGCTAAAGCATGTTCCATGTTTTATAATTTTAGCAGTTAGGCGTTAAGTAGACTGTAACTTACTTCTTCAATAATAATTGAAACAGTATTATAAAAATATTCTACTAAAAATATACTACTACTTCTGACTATTAAAGTCAGAATGATAATATCTTATGACATATTATGTAATGCGTAAAATATACATTTTATTTATCCGTCTATCCTTAACTCTTAAAACTCTTATAAGACATACTTTATTGGTTTGAAAAAAAAGGATTTAGTAATGATTTAACTTAGATACACTTGATTATAACATAAAAATAAAATTTTATATTAAGTATAAATATAATATATTTAATTTGAAACAATACAGTTACTTTTAAAAGAACGTAGCACCTAACATTTGTATGTTAAACTTTGTGTAGCAGATTTTATTGGTTTTTATCATCGACTTTTATAAATAGTTTTGGAGTAAAAAAACTCGTAGTGTCAAAACTAAAGAATATAATATAACTAAGTACTTTGGAAAGTTTTCAGTATTTTATTTAGTAATAAAGCTTTTAAAAAGCAGGTTTTTTTCATAAAAAATTAGAAAATATTTTCAATTTATCAACAATTTTCTAACGAAAAGCCCTAAAAAAATTATATTTTGTTAATTTAATAACGGATGTTTTTCTATTTTGTATGTAGAAAACCCGTGGAACAAGCAATCCGGATTTTGCGTAACTATGTTTAGGTTAGAAAATGTATACTTAAAAAATTGATTTCCAATTAATAATTATTATTTCTATAGTAATAAAATATATACACTATAATTATAGCTAAATCTAAGATTTTTACAAATAATTGCCTATACCGAACTCCTTAATAAATAGAGGTTCTTAAGAAAACCTCTTAGATGCTATAATCTCATGATTTGATTACATAATATTGATAGTAGCGATACTAAATACGTATGTAAGTTTACTATATTAAACCAAAGATATAACTCAAACTGGTGACAACAGATTATTTAGCGAAAGCGGGAGCTCTGGAGATTAGGTGACATAAGAGGCAAAATATAGGCAATATTTATCAAAAAGTAGTTTTATCTTTTAATACATTTTAAACATGTTAATTTTTTTAGCTTAAGGGTAAAATGTTTACGTGTACAATTGTTTCTATCCCTTTTAGTGAATAAATTACTACGGAAACAAGGATAACATTTACAATTTTTTTACTAAATTATCAAAAATGACAACTAATTTGTCAAACCTAATTAATCCTAACTTATAATAGTTATAATAGAATAAGATTAGGTTTGCAGTCCTTAGCAAATAGGCGTGTTCATTTGATTAATCAAACCTTCTTACATAATCTGATGGAGAGGTTAATTGACTGTCCTGAACTACTGAGCAAAATACATTTTAAGGTGTCTAGTTTTCATTGCCCTTCTCCCCATATCTTATTTATACCTCTCTGTAGTACATTTTATTTTCGGAATCGTCCTATTCATAAGATGATGCGTATTGCCAATGAGCAAAATTCAGACAAAAATAATCATATTTTTACCCAACTATTCAACGAAGCGTCACTCCATTCTTATTTCCGAACTCATATTTATGAGCAAAATAGCGCAAGTTTCCCTTAATAGATTATAGCTTATATGTGTTTAGTGACACCAAGCGCAATCATCTAAGATGACCCAATCATAAAAATTATGCTATGATATCATTATTTTTTACAAATTAAAAATGAATAACAATATAATCACTTCTAGAAAACCCACACAGTAGTGATCATTCCCAATTCTCATCTTAATTAAATTTGATAAAAACACAATAATAATACTAGAAGTCAAACTAATAAACCCTTTATTCCTCACATTAATTTCAAACAACTTCTGTAAGTTGCTCCTTGTCACGTATCTTTTATTTTTGCCGTCTTCGTTTAGGTCATACTTTACTGCCTTCTTATTCATTGGAACTATCTTAAAAAAGGTTTCAGCTTTGCATACTACGCATCGAACCAGCTCTTATCATAATTTAATCTTCAACTGTCCTTTGCTATCTACCTCACAAAATTTTCTCTCCAAGTTACTACGTTCTCCAACTATTGTCTTTAACATTTAATCAATACTTTCTTTCAAAATGATCTCAATAATATTACCAATCTTATCTTTCTGACGAAGCTAGATTTGTAATTTAATACAATTTTCTTGAATATAAAACTATAGAATCTATAACGTATGGACTATACTTATCAAAATTACTAAATACATATTTCAACAAAAATCTTCTTGGTCCTCGAGTACGAACGTAATCGTATTAGTGTAGAGTTTTGTATTAAATACGATAAATACGATAAATGTTATTACATTACTTAACTTAAGTATCCCAAAATTGATGGGAAAGTGGCGATCCCACCGCCCAATATACTACAAAGTATATTGCAATAGCCCCACACTTACTTTAATTAGTTGGTGTGGACTGGCCCTCCAGGATTGGGGGTTGAGCGTCGGGCCAACGACCCGACCTCGGAAAAACCCTTGTTAAGAAACCTTCAAATGGGCCTCGGAACTGGATTGATAATGGCAAGCGACTGGAATTGGAAACTCGACTTCGTTTGGGAACTTGGAACATTAGAACACTGAACAAACCGGGAGCTTTTAAATATGTTATGGCCTCAAAAAACTCGTATAAACCGGACATTCTGGCACTGCAGGAGACACGATGGCCTGACAGTGGAAACATGAAGAAAGATAATAAGACATTTTTTTACAGTGGAACCGACGGTGGAAAACACGAGAATGGGGTGGGATTTATGGTTAATGAGAAAGTGCTTCATAACATAAAGACTTTCATACCTGTGGATGATCGGATATGCTACATTAAGATAGCCGGGAGGCTATTTGATCTGGTTATAATCAATTGTTACGCTCCTACGGAGGACAAAGATGACGAAACTAAGGACAAGTTCTATGATGAACTAGAGAGAGTGGTGAACAGCCTACCCACACACTGTATAAAAATGATAGTAGGTGATCTGAATGCTAAAGTGGGCAGAGAGACCATGTACAGGCCCACAACTGAGCCGGACAGTCTGCATGAGACAAGCAATGATAATGGGACCAGGCTAATACACTTTGCTACGTCAAAAGAGTTCACAATAAGTAGCACGTACTTCCCGAGAAAGGATATATATAAATCCACATGGATATCGCCGAATGGTCGAGTGCATAATCAGATCGATCATATAGTGATAAACAAAAGGCACGCCAGCAGTATCAGAAAGGTGAGAACTTACAGAGGAGCGGATGCCGACTCGGACCATTACCTACTTTACCATTACCTATTTGCACAATTCAATCTCAGACTGTCTACAAAATGGAATATGGTGAAAAAAATACCTAGAGAAAAATACAACTTACAGAGATTAGCCGACCCCGAAGCTCTAGAGAGATTTGTTGGAAAAGTGCATGGCAATATACAAGGCAACCAACCAGGCAGAGAAAGTGAAGCACAAACTGTCAACTCCGGTTGGAGTCAATTAAAAGAGGCAGTGATCATTAGTGCAAGTGAAACTCTGAGTATTGGAAAAAGAATGAGGCAGAAGAGCTGGTTCAATCAAGTATGCAAAGAAGCAATAGATAAAAGAAATGAGCTTAGAAAGACGGCCCTTCAGAATCCATCAATTGATGCTACAGATAAATACAAGGAACAAAGAAAGACTACTAACAAGATTTTAAGAAGAGAAAAGCGTCAATTTAAAAAGGAAAGGATCGAAAAATTAGAGATTAACAGGTACAAAACAAAAATTTTCTTCAACATAGCTGGTAACATCAAAGCGGGCTCTAAGCCGCAAACAAAAATCTTGACAAATAAAAACGGAACTCTAATCACTGACGGAAAACAAATAGTTAATGAATTTAAGGATTTCTTCGAAAAGCTACTAAACAGACCGCTTCACAACACGGAAAATGAAGAAGCAGAATTCCACACTGTAGAACCGGAAATTGAGGAACCCTCTCATGAGAAAATTGATTGGTCAGTAGACGGCCTTAAAAATAATAAAGCACCAGGCAAAGATGGTGTAGTAGCAGAACTGTTAAAGAAAGGAGGGACAGCGTTAAGAAGAAAACTAACAGAATTTATTAAAGAAATATGGAGAACAGAAACGATACCAGATGAATGGAACACTGCTATTATTTGTCCTATATTTAAAAAAGGAAACCCAGCAGAAACAGAAAACTATAGAGGTATTTCCCTACTGGACGTTGGATATAAAGTCCTAACAACAATAATATTAAAAAGAATAAATACATATGCCAATGATATTATCGGAAGTTATCAATGTGGGTTTCGAAAGGGCAAGACAACCACCGACCACATATTTGTATTAAGACAAATTATGGAAAAGTATTACGAATTTGGTGTAGACCTGCATTTAGTATTTATAGATTACAAACAGGCATATGATAGTATTGACAGGAGCGAGTTATGGAAGGGATTGGAAAGACTTGGAATATCGGGGAAATATGTGAATCTAATGAAAATGTGCAGCGAGAAGACAATTTGCAAAATACGATTTTTGCAGAATGACTCGGAGCCATTTGAGGTAAAAAACCGGCTTGCGCCAGGGGGACGCATTGTCTCCTACATTATTCAACCTAGCTCTTGAAAGAATAGTAAGAGATATCCATGAACAACGGCAAATGAAGATAAGTGGAGATTCAGTGATGTTAGCTTACGCCGATGACATTGTAGTGATGGGAGAGACTAGGGAGGAAGTTGCCCAGACAACCGAGAGACTACTTAAGGCAAGCATGTCAATGGGCTTATATGTAAATGAAAATAAAACTAAGTACATGGTGATGTCAAGGACCAATCTAAATATAAACGACCTATTGGTAGACAATTTGAAATTTGAAGCAGTGGACAACTTCAAGTATTTGGGAGTAAACGTCAATAACAAGAATAATATGCACCAAGAGATAAATGAAAGAATCATGAGTGGGAACAGGTGTTACTATAGTATAATTAAGCTCCTAAAATAAAAACTACTATCATGGACATCAAATATATGCTTATACCATAGCTATTTGCGACCAATAGTGACGTACGCAAGTGAAACATGGTCATTAACAAAAGGCGATGAGAGAAAGCTGATAATATTTAAAAGAAAAATACTCCGGAATATATTTGGACCACGCTTTAACCGAGAAACAAATACGTTTGACAGAAGGAAAAATGAAGAGTTACAGAAATTATACAAAAAAACAAACATTCTAGCCTTTATCAGGAATAAAAGACTAGAGTGGTTTGGACACACTTGGAGAGCGGATGGTCAACTAATAAAAAAAGTACTCGTGGAAAAAATGAACAAAAAAAGACCCCTAGAAAGACCCAGGACCCGGTGGATCGTTGTAGTTTTCAAGGATTTGAAAGCCATAGACCAGAATGTGACATATGAGTTGACTTACAATAGAGAGAGATGGAGAGACCTGTTGAAGGCAGCAATGGTCCTTAATGGACCGGTAAGCTGAGAAGAAGAAGAAGAAGAAAATTGATGGCATAGTTAGCAACCCTATATGATAGAATACTTTCAAAATGATTCTAGTTCTTACACAATAAGTAACAATTTTTAAACTTCAATAGGTAAAATAAAATTATAGCTAAACAAGAAAAACTCAGTAGTAAAAAATAATAATTGCATTACGTAAGTTGCCTAAACAAACAATCGTACACAAATAAGGTTCATATTGTCATTATTTGCTATAATGTATTATTTGCATCTTAATACGTCATTATAAAATAACACTTGCATACCTTTTAAAAGTATAAGCTATAAGATTAACATAGCGTAATTTAAGGATTTATTTTTTTGTAATTTTGTGTTTTGTATATCATTACATAATTTTTTGTATTTAGGGACAATTGTAGAACTTAAAATGTCTATAATATAGCTAATCAGTAGCTATCAATTAACTACTTAACTAAGAATGATTGTAGCCTAAAAGAATATGGTGTTTTAGTTTGTGAGGCACTATATAAGAGAAATAAAAGAAAAATGTGATATCACTGAAATTAAAATATTGAAATTAAAGTATGAAGTGTTAAATGACTAGGTTAAACAGAATACATTTTATAAAGAAAGTTTGTGGCCTGCAATAATAGCAGAGAAAACGGTAAAAAACATAGTTTATGATAGTTTGGTATGTTGAAAGATACGAGTGCTATGAAAAAAAAGTTATAGTTGTATTAAATGAATACATGGAGTTGTGGAGGCGCGTAGACAATAAAGTAAATAAAGAAATGGCGAAAGATAAAGTTTTGTGGAAAGAGCGGATTTTTGCTGTCCGACTTAATTCTTATGAAGACAAAGCAGATTTTTATGAAATACCATCCTAAAATAAAAACTTAAAAATAAACTTTTAAACAAAAAAAATAAGATAAATGTTCATTAAATATATATTGTAAAATGCACATATAACATGTATGTGTATTATAATTTATATTAATTCAATAAAACCATGAATTAAAATTAAAAATATAAGAAAGTTAGTATAGTTCAGCATTAAATGTAAGACTAGTGTTCATACGTCATGATCTTCATTGTGATAAAACGACGACGAAAATGAGATATTGCCCTTGCGATAAAAGTTAATGAAGTGAATATCTAAAGGTTTGACGTGATCTTGAATATTACTTAGGAATTTTTGGAGCTCTAATGTATTTTCTTCCATTAACGTTGTATTGATTAATTTTTTGTGTGTAGTAATGAATGAATTATTTGTTATATTTTCATGTACATTGTTTACGCTCAGCGTTATTAAACTAGTGATTATGACATCTAAAACCGTAAACATGACTAACTGTAGTTGTTTGTAATCCAACCAGGAATTGGAACTCAAGAGTCTCGAAATTTCCCAAAAAATATTGTCTTCTGCGTCTATGTAGTCAACCATTTGTATGTAAACGGGATAAAATTGTATAATGGCTTTCTCCAACATATTCTGCTTTACGTGATACAAGTTTCGCGCTTCAGATACAACTGACGTACCTATAGTGTGATAAATATATAAATGCACCCAAGTATAGCACAAAAGTCTTGCTTTTAAAATCAACATGATCATCTCGTGATACGCATTGCACGCAAACGGCTCATTTATCCAATTGTGAGTTTTGTAATTTTCTAAGCATTTGTTCTTCAAGTATGACAGCCGTTGTTGCGTTCCACTCCAGTCGATTTGTATACCATGCATGACCTCGAAGATCACGTTTTCCGGGTGTAATGCAGTCAACAACATGTTTTCCACGTTAAAAGAATGTTGGAATTCGTAGATCCTCCACAAATCAAAACCGTTGAACAGGGGATATATGATATTTTCGGTGAGTGTATTAAGGTCCATTTTGGCGTTGACGTGAGTAGGATTTTCGTTTAAGCTCACGGACAGGTAACTATCTCGTTCACAGGCCTTGAGAAAATTCGATAATTCTATGTTTAATAGATAGTCATTGAAAAAAGCATCAGGTATCAATTTCTTGTGGTTCTGCCAATCGATAGCCGCAACGAGTTTGGTGTGAAAGATCCACAGCCAAGAGTGAGGAACGGTTCGGCTCATAAATAATATCGAAAACATCATGGCAGTGTAATCTGCGTATTGGTAGTAAATATATTTCTCATAATCAAAATTTAACGGATTTTTAAGTTTTATTATTACATTTTTGAAATGCACCAACAAGTACTTAATAATTACCCCGAATGTACATTGGAGGCTTTGTACTTTTTTTTTATATTTGATCAACACTGATTCTTTCATTTCTACCATATCACTACTAGAAGAACTGTACCTGGTAGTCATCAGCTGAATTTCTTTAGCTGACAAAGTCAATTTATTTTCATCCATAGTTTTAAGCTGATGTACTATGTCAAGAAATGTTTTGTTGTACATGACTCCATGGGTCATAATGTTCGGCTCGATCTAGAAAGTAAAAATAATTTAAGTATTACTGTCGATAATATTATACGTAGTAGACAACATTTTTAATAATTTTTTATTACTTTTGAATCGTTTAACCAAGAAAAGTACAACCAATTTATTGTATACGACAAATCACACATAAGTAATAATAGCAAAAAACCTAAAACATTAGTTATCGTCAAATTCATGTTTTCGATTTAAAAATAATTTTTTATAATTTGTTTTATTTAAGTATACAACGATTCAACTGCATACAAATATTCTTTAGTTCATTGCCAATACTGGGCAAGTGGCATTGGCCTCAAGCGTTAAACATCACATTTAATAAACGCAATATCCCATAATACTCATGTTTTTCGATTTAGTTTTGGTGTTATTATTTTTTTGTATGTATACACGTATACATTGTTTAATCAGTTGTGGTCTGGTACGTAATATAATTTTACACGTTTACATTGCTGTCTCAACAAGTTAAATTTTGTCAACGCTATTACTACATAGTACATAGCTACATAAAACTATATGTAACTATATTAAGTATTTCTTTGATTTTAGAATAAAAGAAAATGAACACTTAATGAACCAAAAATTAAAAAAACCCGTACAGTTGGGTTGGGACTCGGGGCATAGTGCCTCGTGGGGACAGGGAAGTCACAGGTCTACAGGAATTATATACCTAACTAAAAGTGATAAAATCAATTTTAAATAAACGCTTCGATGCGAATTTGTAGATAGTAAGTTCGAGCCAGTAGAGTCCGAACCTTGCACAGTAAGAAAGTATTATACGCAAGTTAGTAGTAAATAGTACAAGTAGTAATAGTAGTAGTATTAAGACAGTAAGGGAGGGAGATCCAGTGTTCATAGATAAAAATACAAATATCCATAAAAACATTGTACCTAATGACAGTTATGTGCTAAAAAAATAATTTTTAGGATTAAAGTGGATACGATTAAGGTTTATTGTCTATCTTTAAAAATTAATTGCCAAAGTTACCCATGTATCGTTGTTAACAATATAAATATATATTCATTACCCGTTGACTGTTGGTTCACTAACGCATAACAACCTGGAAATTGAGTACGGTCAATGTGTAATTTTCCCATTTTTTGAAGGGTTTCCTTAGTAAAAAAAAAATGTTTGACTATAAATTTTTAATAAAATTGTATATGTTGTTATCCATTCTAGATCTATCTACGGTCTAATTTTTAAACCTAAATCCTTAAAACTTTGCTTGAAAAAGAGAAGTAAAGAAAACATTTCTATCCCTTCTAGGGGAAAGAGTTTATGATATTTTTTTGGTTTTCAATGTTTATCGGTAGTACTATGTTTAAAGAATATTCCATACAAATTTGGAACTGATTCGACTATTTTTAAAAAAGTCATAGAGTATCGTAATTTTAAGTTTTTAATTTTTGGCCAAATAAATAACTTTTTAGGAACGATTTTTGATCTATAGAGTTGCTACATAATGAAAACGGTTCAGTGGTTTAAAAGATATCGAGGGTGCACCCAAAAAAAAGTTTTTAAATAAATGAAAACATATCATTGTAAACACAATACCTTCTCAGATCCCTATCGAAGCTAAGAGTCGGCAGGGTTATAGTGAGTAATAGGTTATGCGCAAGCCTTTTTGGATCTCAGTGGTCTTGGCGCACTGTGAATTGTGATGTGTGTGTATATTTAAGGGTTGTTTTGTAACATGATATGAACGAATAAAGGTGTGTCCAAAGCGGTCGGGAAAGGTTACCGTAGCAACGCAGTCGGTTCGCTCTTGTGGACTCATTGCTTCAGAGATCAATGAGGCGGTTGTAAAATTATAATGATACAAATAATAATAATGAGTATCATTGATCATAGGATTCGGTGCCTATTTTTGTTGTTCGAAGAGAATACTCAAGCTATTAGTACTTGCCTGTTTTCTTTACTTGGTACCTACTTATTTTTAAAGGACTATAACGCACTATTGTTATTTTTTACTACATACTAAACATTTTAAGTAAAATATTTTTTATATTAATGGAAAAAATTAGTTATAACTTATGAGTGTTCATGTAAAAACTTTATTTTAAATAATAATTTAACATACCCGAAATACGGTGACGGCTGAGGTGTCCACTGCGTCACACCATGCCTTTGTTGACTGTTCAAATTAGTTTTAAAACTCAATTCGTTCGATAGAAATATGACATTTTAACTCTAGGAATAGGACATAAGTAACATCAGTGTGGGCTGTGTGTTATGCATTACAACCTACAGGGACTGAAATTTAACTATTTAATTTGATCATATTAAATAGTTACTTTTCAAAAGTATATCGGAGAATTTTTTCATCATTTTCGGAGAACGGCAAACGTATCAAATTCAAAGAGTCCCAGTTAAATTATTAGATGGTATCTTCAAGTTTTCTCGGAGCGTCAGTATTCGGACACAGGACTGAATTTATAGTCCATATCTGTTATCTGGTTTAACAGCACCTTCATTAACTTAATTATCATTCCTATGATTTCCTACCTATAAGAACAGCTGTTAAACTTACTTTTAAGAATATATTTGTAAGGACCTTTTTTCTCCAGTGATTTCGAGAAATGATTGATTATCATTCATTTTCATTACTATTTATACTTTCTATGTCTAATTTTGTCCAGTGTTTACAGTAGAGTGTGAAAATATTGTCAAGTCTCTGAAATGGTTACTATAAGATGCACTAAGTTAAATATATCGGTTTACAATGTTTGATCTTACATTCATTTTAGCTTTATATTTTACTTAAAATAAAATACATTTATTTATTTTTTTTTTTTACGGTGAGTTTTAAATGTGACTGTAAGAATGGCTAATTGGTTATTTTTTTTATTTCAACGAGTTTCAATTTTAATGAAGGAGGAATAAGCTTTTCTTTCATTATAATGTAATGTTAATATACCTCGTTAGTATGTTTTTTATACGCGCATGCAAGTGTCAACGATATTATGATTTTACATTTTTTGACCGCTAGATGATCGCTAATGAGGAATCTTAACATAGATTAAATTCCCTTCTGGATTCTTCTAATTCTTCTGGCTACTGGAGAAATGCTATCAGTTTTATTTTTTAATTAAATCCCAGTGAGCTTTAAGCACAAGATTTAAAAATTGGGAATGACGGCATTCCAACTATTTGAGATTGGCTACCCTTCTCCTAATACTCCACTCGACACGTTCTTCTAGATCATCTTCGCATCCAACCACCTTTTTTCGGTCTCAATAGTTAATAACAACGTTTCATAGGGCACTTATTCAGATAGCATAATATATATAAGTTTTGAGAAGTTTCAACTTTTATGCAGAAAAAAGTTCATATTTTACTATTGGCTTAGAATCTACATATTATCTATCTATATATATAAAAATGAATATCTGTTTGTTTGTCCTTTATGCATTAGTAAACCATTCATCCGATTGCCATGAAACTTTGGGATGTTGTTGAGTACACCCCCGCGAACCTAACTGAAATATTACTTTTTGAAAATTCCACCCCTAAGGATGACCTCAAACACGAACTTTGTACTTTAAATACGAAATGTAAATAAATTAAATGTTTTTAACCATAATAACCCAAAATAAACTCTTGGTTTGTAACTATGGTCTATGGTAATCAAGGTACTCGAGCAAATGGTAGGTGATGATTAAAGGAATAGGCCAATTCTATGTACCACGATTCTGGGCAAGCTTTTAACTGTTGGAACGGGATCTGGGACCGGGACTGGGACCCTTGAGTAAGAGGAGGACATAATAACCGAAAAAAAGTGTTACAAAAAAGCTGTTACGCTGTTATCTGATAAGAGATAGGAGATTAGAGATTAGAGATGAGGGATGGGGGTGAGGATGGGGACGTAGGTGATGATGGGGATGGTGGTGGGAATGGGGGAATGGGAATTATTTTACTAAGCCCTGGCAGACTAAATTTCGGGCAACGCCGGATCCCGGACAGCTTATTGAATTATAAAAAACTAAACTAGTCTAGCTTATAATAATCTTTTTCGTCGGTTATAATACGTTTTTGATGTAACGCCGTTCACAGGAAAAATCCACCAATGAGCAAAATGTACAATATAAGATTTGGTGTTGATGTATGAATACAGAAAAACATATTATTTATTATAAAATACCTCCAATGTGCTACAGCATAGAAACAATAACACTTCTATTTTATAAACATTTTTCTAGCTTTACTGGAGAATTAAGATTTAGTTACTAAAAGAGGTTTTCTCGCGAGCGACGATGATCTTTGAACACGCTCGCATACAGAATATCTTGTGAAATACTATGATAACGAATAAAGCATACTAGTTTATTATTGTTTCAATTGATTCTCATTGGTTCGCAAGTCGTTTTTATTTATCTTGACACTTAAGTACTGCTCAGCGTGTGCCCCATGCGACCGCGGGGACCGGTGCAGAAACAATTTAACGGGTACAACACAAGTATATATTTTATATGTACATGTGTGCGTTTTAATATATATTATTACATATTATTATACAGGTACGCTTGCACAAACCGTACAGTATATACAATATAATATTATGGTGTTCTGGCCGGCCATGCTGCGGTGTAAAGTAATAACAATACGCGTATTTAAATAATATTGTGGATCGAATCAGTGGTGCGGGGAAATGGGTGATTTCGCTATAAAAATAGATTTATTTGACAACCGGGACGGGTTCGTTGGTATAGCCCAGGGGTGGTCCGGTCTTAAACGTAATACGTTTATAAATTACACGCGGGCGCGCACACACATAATAATATAATATTTACATTGGCTGAGACTCGGCACGTTATATGATTTATGGTTTTTACACCTATGGTTCGGTCGTTTACTCAGCCCGAGCTATGCATATAACATACATATGGTATACATACATATGTTAAAAATATTTATATTATTATGAGTTGGTATTTGGCCGGTTCCAAGCGCGTGGTGCATGCCCAGAGTGCTGCCCAGCGGTGAGTCATGTAAGAGCGTTAAGTGGTTAGCCGATAGAATGTTAAAAAATACTAGGCCAATTTGTGTCTGCTAGCTTGGTGAGACCATAGATTAAATAATATATATTATTTAATCTATGGTGATGTATATATAGGCGCAAAAAAAAATTCATCTTCGAAGTTTTAATAACTAGCTACTTTTTTCTGTGCATAAAAAGAGACAATATTTGTGAAAATTTGAGATTTAAAAATAAATCACTGGTCGATCAACGTGTTTTAAGTAATTTAATATATTAGCATATAGATTGTCGGCTTAGAGTACATTTTTTTATGTTACACAGTCCTAAGT